GACCGATTTCACTCGGGTCCAGCCCCTGTGTGCATTTCACTCACTGGCGCTATTTCTCCAGGCCCTAGAAGCGCACACACCACCGCTTCACTAAGCAGGTCACCCGAGTGAAATCGGTCAACTAGAAAGATGAGCAACGGATCTACGAGACAATGATAGAATCCGGATTGGAGGCCCGAGTGGGATAAGCCCATCGAAAGGGAGGGGGGTCGGGATAAATAGCAGGTGTGATGAGGCCACAGTCGGTTTGCCACAAAAGGGCACATATTTTGATGATTGGAATGTAAACAAGTGAAAAGTTGTGATAGGGCCGCAGTGGAGGGTAAAGAGTAGATAGATAGGCCAGGACAGAAAGAGGAGTGATAGTGTAACCGTTTCCAGCAGAACGCTTGTCGAGGTGTTGACTTCACTTGTCTCTTTAATGAATTCGTATCTTGGTGCAGAGAATGGCAAGGCTCACTGATGATGCCGACTACGATGCTGGCGAAACGCTTGAGAATGTATCCAGTCCAATTTCAGATGCTGGGAATCAAGAAAACTACTATGGCAGACGACTTCGGACTCAGTGCGTTCTACATAATCTCCCTATACACAATACCAAGTTGCGACAACGAGGTCAACGCACTTCCATAAGAATAATGTTCAAAGAAACCCTTCGACTTTTTTCTGTTATGCCATCTTTTAGAGAGAAATATGACCCATTTTCGAGATCTGGCTGCTGCAAGATTGTTTGCTCACGTTGGTAAGACAAGCCGGCTTATTAGACAAAGATTGAGAGAACACAAAAATGCTTGCAAAGGAAGCTGGATTCAACGATCAGAAGTGGCCGAACACATGGTAGAAACTGGACATGAAATAAAATGGTCGCAAACTAGTAGGTTTGCTGATTATGGTAAGTCTTTGGTTAAAAGAAACATAAGAGAGGTTATTTAAATTAATAGCTAAGAAAATACATTAAATGTGAGGAACTATCCTTAAACGAAAGTAGGTGAATACATCTATATAAGAAGTAAGATAGAGCCGGATAGTGTTCTTGTTTAAGTGTTAACGTGAGAGTTTTACAAGAATGACACCCAGTTCTGATGATGTCAATCATATGATGGACGAAAGCTCAGCAAGTTTTTACCCAAACGAGGAAGGAAGTCTCGTGGACTGCGTCAACATGAATATCGTATAAAATCCTAACGGCTGCAATACAACGAGATACATCCGTCCTCATCTGGTGAGATCTAGCAAAGAATCTCTTCTTAATGCACTTTCATACGAAATGAAAGTCCCCCTGACAATTATATATATTCAGCAGTTATAAATTTTATGAAAAAATAGGGTAGAATAATGTTTATTCCGTAATATTTTACTTTAAGAGAATGGTTGTACATTAACATGATTTTAATGGATTTTGTACTATTTTGATTTAATTTGTATTTACCAAATATATTTTTGCATATAAGCAACGGAAATAATCCGATATTAATTAATTAACCTGAAAATACTGACAATTTTAGAATGCATTTGAAAATTCTCAGGCTGGAGTATTAACAATAAATGCTTAAATAACTCAAAATTAACGAATTTTTGTAAACTCCAGGAATTGTTTCGTGGTTTAAAATTTTTAAGAGAGAATAAAGAGGGCTTTATTTGAATTCAGAAAAGATTTGAAGAAAAAACATGAAGGTTGATATAAACTCACTTTTTATTATCTTAAAATATTAAATTTCTACAGAGCAATTGTGGAGCTCGAAGGAAAGCGTTTGGAAAAGAGGTTCGAAAGACTTTCTGGCCATAAGATGACGGCGGATTTATTTTACCAGCCATAGATTGGCCTTAATGGAGCATTTTTGTTGACGCCATTTCCAAGGCCATCTGCTTTGCTTTCGGAAAAACCGTGTTAAACTTTTGATTTCTTGATTCTTTTGCTTAAATCTGGTTGTAAGATTGTTGCTCTGCTCCGATGCCTTCTATTATACGACTAACAAAAGATTATCACTTTTTTAACGGAATCGAAGGGGAATGCCTCGGCAGCAGGTTAGCTAAGCTGTTTCAGTAAGGCAAATCAATAGACGGTCAAGAGGAATCCGCCATCCTCCTCTGATGAAATTGACCTATGAATCTCTTGGCAAGACACTTTTACTCTGAATTTATGTGAGCTTAACAAGTATGAACCACAAGATACCTCAAAACTAAGCTTTTCTTTACCTAATAAAAAGTATTAAATCAAATTTGCATGCAGATTTCTTGTCTATATATTTGTTCTATGGAGTTCATCTAAAATTAATTCAATATGGAATTTAATGAAATATACTATTCTCTTGTTGACACTACCTATAATGTCGTCGATTGCTATACAAATATAAGCTTAATTCATCGACAATCTCACCACAGAGTGTGATATGGGAAGATGACTGGACTTCTTTGAAATTCGTATCCGCTCTGTGATCCAAGGGCATACATCGAAACATGGAATAGTGGTTAAGGTGTCGAGATTATACGCCGCACTTCCATAATTCGAGTTTCGCTGGGAATATTATAGCACCTAGGCAAGGTTAAACCTGCAGTCCATCCTGGGTGAGAATAGCTTTTAGAAAAGCTGAGCTATAATTAATTCAATGGGAACGTCATGTACAATGTTATAATTTTACCAGTCCTACCTAGCAGTCCTTTACCAACTTAGACGAAATGGAGTGTCCAGAGCTCGAATATGCAATTTGGCATGGATGCCTGAATGTTAAAGAGGGATATTTGAGGAGTAATAAATGAGTATTGTGAAGCTTTAAACCCCCTGAATGTTTTATTTTTGCTTTATATCCATATTAGAGGAAAAATCTAATTGTGAACCTAAAAATACAATGCATTTCAAAACTTAAGTAAGTTTGTGAAGCAAAGTTTTAGCCATCTAATTTTTTGCGCATGGTAACATTAATTTAAATATGCAAAAATGGGAAATGTCATTAATTAAAATATAAATGTAATGATACTTGAATTAACACCTCGTCGGATGTATCTGCAGACGTTTACACAAATGTCTTTAAATTACATATACAATTTGGGTTCAAAATTATTTTAAGTTTAATGCTTCGTTCTCCTACTGCACATTAGAAATCAAAGATTTCATGCGAGTAATTAGTCGTCTTGATATATCTCTAATGCAATAAATATGAAAGAAGTTTTCTAGGAATAAAAAGTTTTTTTATGCAAGAACGATTAACTTATTTTTTAATAATAAATGTATTTTAAATTTGCTGGAGCAAATAAACATTTTAAAATGTATAATTATCCTCTAAATGTAGAAATGAGTAACTACTGGCTAAATATGAGAGTTTTAAACAGTTGCAAACAGACTATTTTTTCCCACATTTCTCCAAGTTTCAACAATTTCGATTATTAATATTGTTGTTTTTTTCATGATCGATGCTGACTGCGAACAGTATTTATCATCTAAATATTTTGTTCATGCAAAAATTTGATCAGGAAGTAGTACTAGATATTTTAGAAATTAGTTATTTTTTTATTCCTTATGAGTCCTCGTTTATTTTATATATAGACTTGTTTGGGCGAGTATTGCCGAGAATTTACTTAATTTCGTAAGTTTCTGAGGAATAATTAACCTATGTCTCACTCCAAATCATTTTTATTGGTTATAATAAATACATCCTACTTATTAACATAGGGCCACATTATTAACATATTTTAAAATAAAAAATACGAAAAAAATTAAATAAATCTTGATGTATCTGAGTTGTTATCATAGACTTTAGTTTATTAGGGTTCAAATCTGAGATAGCAATATATATATAAGAATAAACCTTCCATAAACAATGCCATGTCAAGCTCATATAGAATCTTAATTCGAATTAAGTTATATTTGAGCATTAGCGCAAGACTCAGCTATTTTTAATACGTTTTTCTGTTATAAAGGTGTCAAAGCTTATCATTAACTATCACTTAGCTGAGAACATTGCAGCTATTTCAAAAATATATAGGTGTCATTTCTTTAACTAACTCTATAATATGAGTTAACTCCAGAATGTGTTCTATATAAAAAAATGTGCGGATAACCAACATAATAAAAGAAAGAAGATTAAATCAGAAAAAATCAGGTAGGGCATAGAATAAGTAATAAGCGAAAGTGGAATTTAAAAGGCTTGTGCAGAGCCAGCACATAGTAGGAAGCATAAAGATAGGAGAGAGAATCGGAAAGTTGATAGTAACTTAAGTGAGCAGAATGAGCTTTTCCTCATTGTTTAGCATCAGAGTTCTTGTTCATTTACTTAATGTTCTAATATGTATGTGCCAAATAATTGGTTCATCGCCGATGATCTGGCTCGACATAATACAAATGAATAGCTTGCTTTTTAAAGTGATGATGAATGAATTATAATCAAAGTGTTATTCAATGAAAAAGAAAGTTCTGTGGGCCAGATTTGATATCGTGTAACGAGTTTAATCGATGTAGTGCTAGAAGATTAGGACAAATTACAACAGCAATAAGATACGCAAAAAATAGAGGAAAATTAATGACTCCCTAAAGTTTAATTATTATAATTTATGAATTAGTTATATTGGTAAAATTTCATTCATTACTATTCTGATTTTACTAATATAAGACAGTAATAACAAATATAGATTTATACTATTTTTATGAAAACAAATAAATGCAATATTGTTCCGTTGCTTGAACCGAAAATTCATGCTGTTGAAACAGAAGAAATGTATGCTACGCTTTTATTCTAAACAATAGTAAAAAATAAGAAATTATCCGTGATTGACTGTTTTATTCTGATTATAATTCATACTTAGTTATCGATAATTTTTTACCTTAAAATCTTCAATTTGATTAAAATGAAGGCTGAGTTTTACGCAAAATTTCTTTAATTATATGTTTCTGATAAATCTTTCTAATGTGTTAAAAGTTTATAAATATTAAACCTTATACATTCAAAGACTGCAGACTTTAAAACTAGATATTAAACCCTTAAATTAATATTATACTGATACTCCCGAATGAATTTAAGAATTTACATTTTTTCTAGTAATATGTAGAGCTAACAGCCGAACGAATAAATTGAAATTTAGGGTAATCTTTATCTTACGAATCTTCTGGCACTTTACTAGCTAAGAAAAACAACATATCAAAATCAAATTTTAACTAGAAATGGCTAAATTATACTTGGTGTCTGGATAATTAAATGAAAAATGATAGACTGGATAATAATCCACAGATCTGATTTGCACTAAGATTTTATTTATTTGGTAGCTATTTTCAGGT